ATATAATTTCTGATATAAATTATTCCTTTAATACTTTGCTACTATTCTTTTACTAAAATGGCTACTTTTTTTAAAAAGGCAATATTACAGAAACACAGTTCAAAGTATGTTGGCTTATTTTACCAATCAATAATATCCAGTGCTTAAGGTCAACAAGGGGCCACATAACTGAACAGGGAGTACACATGTCAAAATATACTGCTCTGGAGATACAAGTTTCACTTAGAGTATTTTGAAAGTGCTAATAACAGGTATCCTTGATTAGGAATGAAAATATTGTTTTTAAATGTGTGAGTCATATTAGAGATCAGCTATTAAATTCACTACTTGTTACTCAACCATTTAACGCATTGTCGTCATGTTTACTTATCAATACCTGTAGAAAGAGCATTATTTTGTTTGAGCAATAACTAGGACACTTGCATTCACAGTATAAAACTCAGGTTTACTACAATGTAATAAAATTTAACCAATGAAAACTTTAAAAAAGTGTTAATGACTACACAATATCTGCAGTAATTTTGTTTTTTTTTTTTTTATATTTAAATATTTATTTATTTATTTGGCTGTGCAGGGTCTTAGTTGCGGCATGCGGGATCTAGTTTTCTGACCAGAGATCGAACCCAGGCCCCCTGCATTGGGAGTGCGGAGTCTTAACGCTGGACCACCAGGGAAGTCCCTCCGCGGTAATTTTGTATGTGAGTCACTCCGTCAAATTCCTTGCAAGGCTTTATGATACAATGCACTCCCCTATACTTTGAGAGTTCGTGATCAGTACATGCCTGCACTTCTCAAGAGTCTCTAGAATTTAAATTCCCCTGCAGACTTTCAAGAAGGATCATTCCTCATATCCTAAGGCAAGCATCTTCCCAGGAGCACAGGTCAAACAGAAAAGTCTGTCTCCTCTCTTTAGAAAAGCTTTACATAGTGGAGCTGCATTGGCACATTCTTTTCACCGCGGGGAGAGAAGCTACAAAGTAAAAAAAAAAGAAAGCATATCGGGAGAGAGCCCCGATTATATATAAAAATTCTAAGGTGCTAGTTTCACAAACTATCTTAACCATTCACAAATCTGTAAAAATATTAATAATAATAATGTACAAATCCATGTACCCATCATTAAGTTTTAACAAATATTAACATATTTTCATATTTGCTTAAGCTCCCTTTAAAATAGAAGAAAAAGTTATACGTAGATTTGGGCCTTCCCTGGTGGTGCAGTGGTTAAGAATCTGCCTGCCAAGGCAGGGGATAAGGGTTTGAGCCCTGGTCCGGGAAGATTCCACATGCCGCGGAGCAACTAAGCCTGTGCGCAACAACTACTGAGCCTGCGCTCTGGAGCCCACGAGCCACAACTACTGAAGCCCACGTGCCTAGAGCCCGTGCTCTGCAACAAGAGAAGCCACCGCAATGAGAAGCCCACGCACTGCAATGAAGAGTAGCTCCCGCTCGCCGCAACTTAGAGAAGTCCTGCGCACAGCAACGAAGACCCAACGCAGCCAAAAATAAATAAAATAAATTAAAAAAAAAAAGTTATACATAGATTTGAAGGAGCTCTACCCAAACCTTCCTTCTCCAGAGTTACCCACTATTCCTAAAGTTAATGTCTTATTTCCATGTATATTCTTATACTTTTATGTACTCTCACTAGATACATATCAATAAACAGTAATATGCTATATTGTTTCAAAACTCTACATAAATGCATAATACAGTATTCATATATCCTTTGGCAACTTGCTTTTTTTTTTTGCGGTACGCGGGCCTCTCACTGTTGTGGCCTCTCCCGTTGCGGAGCACAGGCTCTGGACGCGCAGGCTCAGTGGCCATGGCTCACGGGCCCAGCTGCTCCGCGGCATGTGGGATCTTCCCAGACCGGGGCACGAACCCGTGTCCCCTGAATCGGCAGGCAGACTCTCAACCACTGCGCCACCAGGGAAGCCCAGGAACTTGCTTTTTTTACTCAATATTATGTACTTGAAATATGTATCCATGTTATAAACAAAGATCTAGTTTATTCATTTTTACCAAGGGATAGTATTCCACTGCATGAATAAACCATAGTTTATCCATTTCCCTACTAAAGTACAGCTGGATTGTTCTACTTTATCACTATTTTAAGAGCTGCTATAATCATCTTTGTTAGATGTTTGCTTGGGCAATTGCTCCAATTTTAGTTAAGAATTCAGCTCAACAAAAATTTAGGCTGCGGAAGAAAAGAACCCTTAGAATGAAAGTAAATTCACCCAGATCCCATTGACCCAGTCTTTTTTTTCATAGGAGTTGAGAAAACTGTACATTTTTCTTCAAAACCAAACTCTATGAGCTGTACAATAAAAGAGTAAGTCTACAAGAGCCCCCAAAAGTACTCAATACATCTCTGATGTGAATATTTCTGCTCTATTCACGTGGATCAATTAATTCACCTATGTTCAGCTCTTCTGTCGCTTGTGTGATGCTGGCAAACATCAAGACAGAATGTAAAGACAGCACCATTATATCTATAGACGAACGGGAAATGGGGATAGGAAAATAAATGTAATGCTAAAAAGGACCACGTCATAATCGGTTGCTATTTTATTTGTGGCTACCGCGCATTTTCTTAAGGACTGATATCCTTAAGAAATCTACTTCCTTATAACTGATGACTGAATTAATTGGTCATTTATGAAAAGTTAAAAGAAAAAATATGTTTTAAAAAAACTCTACCAGAAATATCTATATCCCTAATACAGTTAGAGTATGTGGTAGGTTTAATTCCACAAAGTTATTAAAATACTCACAGAATTCCTCTGAGCGCTGGAGAAAAGGGCTCAACCTCACACTACATCAAAGCAAGCCTTCTTTTACACCAGCTCAAAAATCACCACTCTCTACCTTCCTTCCTAGTTTTTCAACTCATACCTTACCTAGTCTCATATTAATAAAGAATTATAAAAGGTTTTTACAAGTCAGTCATATTCTTTGGAAATACCTTTAGAATGGATCCAGCAATACTGCATTTAACCCATGTTTTTCATGAAAATGTGTAAGATTGATAGTACTCTTCCCATCTAATCACATGAAAACTAAAATCAGTTCTCAGTGAGGTTGTTACCATACCTTTTGCTTCTTTGACAGTCAAAATGCCCAAAGTAAGTCAATGACAACCTAAGTTCTGAAAGGCTGAAATTTGGAGAAAAGGGATTCCAGTTCACATAGCATAAATCAACTTAAAAAATAAGGGGCTCACATAATGCCAACTCAAATCCCCACACACACAAATTACGTGTTTGGTTCTTTATGTTCTGCATCAAATTTTAATATTGTGAAACAGCTTCTAACATTTCTTGCTATAGCTATGAATCTTAAGTCTGCCAATACTAGTCATTGTTTGGAAACTAAGTAATAAATTTAAACTAGGTATAGATTCCATCAGCATTTTAGGTTCTAATGGAACACATTAAAAGTTCTAATGGAACACCAAAGTTACTATAGACCAACCTGAAATCATATTTTCTCTAAATATACCCCTATATCATAAACCTATCTGGAAACTATCCCTTGATTTTAAAAAGTAAACTATAGTTCTTTTCTTAAAAAGTATTCAGTTCTCTTTCACATCATTTAGAAAACAATGAGTCAGTGGATCATGATGTAATGGAAAAGGAAATGACTTATAAAAATGGCTAATATGTATTGAATATCTACATACAGTGCCAAGCACTGTAAAAAAAAATATGATACATGAACCATTACATGTAAAGGTACCATTATGAGGAAGGTACTTTTATACCCGATTCAGAGATAAGGAAATGGAGGCAGATAAGTAACTTGCCCAAATTCAAAGATGTAAGTGTATGTGACCCCAGGTATGCTCAGGTCTAAAGCACTTCACCACTATGCTTGTATTATCAAGATTAAAATACTGTAATCTACTGCAAGAGCAAATTTTTCACTCCTTAAATTCTTAATTTTATTCTTTAAAGCCTTTTAAAGAATATTTACAGCCGCCAACAAATCCAAAAGGCAACAGACTAAGGATCTGCGTTTGTGTTCAACAGTGATTTCCTTTTCCATTCTAAACCAAAATGAGAATACTCTACTTGGATAAGCCACTTCAGCCCGTGTGCTTTTCCTCTTCCCTCATCAACAAAGACCTAAGCAGTACAACACTTCGGCGAACCTACTCTTGTCTGTCTCCAAAGTAGCCCTATTACACAGAGGACCAACACCACCGTCCGGACCATTTCCTTACGACAGCCCCTATGTTATTCTGTTCCTATCTTCTCTTCTCAAAAGAACTTAACCACCTTCTGCTGGATAACTTGACACGACAAAGGACTAAGGCTAAACTACTAATGCTTAATATCAAAGTCATTTTCTTTTTCCACAACCGCCTTTTCAAGCCAGCAAAACTCTCGGTTCACTCTCCACCGCGATCTGCATCTATGAACAAACCTGGGACACTCATCAAGGTTCGCCGCCAGGGACCCCGGTTTATCTGGTCGCCGCCTAGAGTGGGCATTCAATAAATCCTCCTCAATGAATTGGTGGAAGGCAGCGTGGGGGGGAGGCGGGAAGGGGGGCGCGAAGGAATTTCACTTCCCTGAGATCTCTGCAGTGGCGCCCGGTCTGGGGAGGAGGAACCGGGGCGACGGGGAGAACCTGGAGCCGTTGGGTGCTCCTCGACCGGCAGGTCTGTTGGTTGGACGCTGGCTTGGGAAGACGCGGGCGCCGTCTCCGTGGGTCTCCGCAGCGCGCTCCCGGGCCTCGGCCTGCGCCTCCGCCTTTCTCCCGGACCCCGGCGTCCCGCACGCTGGAGGCCCCGGCCGATCAGCCCTCCGAAGCCACGGGCCAACCCAGGACCCGCGCTCGCTCACCTGCCGCTCCCGCTACAGCACCCCGGTCTGCATCCGGCGCGAGCCTAGCAGTCCCGCGGGCCCGTGAGATCAGCTGATTCACGGGGGGCGGGGCTTCTGGGCAGGGGCTGGGCGGCGAGCGAGTGTGAAGGCCGGAGATCACTCCCGACGTAGGTGGAGTTATATGCCAACGGAGTCTGGTAGGGATCAAAATTACTAAAGGGGCGTTAGGCATCGCGGGCAACGTTCCCGAGATACTGCCTTTCCCTTAGGACCAGGCAGAGCCACGACTCCTAAGATGCGCTTGGGCAATGACGTAACGTGGCGTCGCCAGGGCCTAACTACGAGCGGTTCCATGGTAACGGTGAGGAGAGTGGTTGGGAGCTGCAGTCATTTTGCTGCTACCTCAGACTGCTGTAGTCCGAAGCTCAGACTGCTGTAGTCCGAAGGGTAAGTTCGCTACTCTTGACAGTGAAAAGGCTAAAATGTCTTCAGACTGCTTCTATAGACTGTACCCTAATGGTAGTCACTTCCTCCCCGGAGAATGACGTCATCGCCAGGCGGTGGGATTGGCGCTAGTATCCGCACTTTTTACTACTTCGTTGCAACCCCGAAGGATGGAGTGTGGTAGGAGGGAATGAGTTGGCCTCTCCTGTGATCCCCACTGAGCTCTCCCGTATACAATCTGAGTAACGCCAGTTTGCTCAGCACACAGTTTCACGACTGTCTGCTTGTTGCAGTCACAGCCCCACCACGACTCAGCTCGCGCCCCCTAAGTCCCCTCGTGAAGATTTTCCCGAGACACCACTCATGACAGTGGGTGCAAACTCTACTGCTGGGCAGTGTGCCATCGCTGGACCTGTAAACCTGTATTCAGACCATCAGCGAAAGATGTGCAGTCAGGGTCTGAAACTCCTGTGCATAAATGGTCTATTAAGTTCACCAACATCCTCAACTCGATTGCCTCCTTGATCCTCCATCACCTGCAAAACCGTTAGTTTACAACAGTTCAACCAACCTTGTACACTCTTGCACCAGTGCTGGAAAAAACATAACCCTGAGGATTGGTACCACTGCAGACCAAGGGTGTCCAACTTCAGTCAGGACTACCATGTGGCCAGGCAATCTTGTTAAGCCCCAAATTGTCCTTAACACATTGCTATTCAGAATTTCTCCTATCCCTATACCCTGTTCTTCCCAGCCCATACACTCTCCTAACTTTTTAACTGAACTCTACTCACCCACCCTCTTTGGTAAAAATTTAAAAAAATAAACTTTGCCTCCTACATTTCTAAGGAAAATGAGACCCCCCCCAGGGATGAATTTCCTTAACTCCCAGCAGCCGCTATCACAAAGCCTACCTGCAGCCCCAGCCTTCCTTTCCTTCGCCCTCTTTCTCCTTTGAAGTGTTCTGGCCTCTCAAGGTTAATCCCTTCCAATCCACTTAGAGGCTTGCTCCATTACTTATCGCTTCTCTTTTGTGTATTTTCAACCTCCCTGTCTCTTGTTACTCTTACTGCTAAGGATATGAGCCTGTTCCTGCATATCCATCTTTAATTTCTTTTTCCTTTGTCCTCCTTTCTTTTACTTTCTGACCTCCCAATCTTCCTCCTCCCCATCTGCAGTCTCTGCTTTTTCAGGTCTACTGAAACCAGTAATCACCTTCTAATTTTGAAAGCTAATGATACATTCTAAGAATGGAACCATTCTATGCAACCATTTAAAAGAAGGAGAGTGCTCTGTATGTATTGATGTGGAATGATCTGAAAGTTAGGTTAAGAGAAAAAATGCTAGATGCTGAATCATGTGAATTGTATTCTACCAGTTACATGTTATGTATGTCTTTTCACAGGAAGAGAAAGAGAGAGGATATATATCCTTGTCTTTGTATATTCATATCTTGGCTCTGACAGGGTGCATTAAAGTGACTGACACTGGGGAGGAAAATTGGGAACAAAGGTAGGAAAAAAACTCACTTTTCACTCTATGCCATATTGCACTGTTTGAACTTGTAACTTTACAAATATAGTTTGAATATGCTTTTTTAAACTTATTTTTAAAGCTTTTAAATCTAAAAAAAAAGGTACAATTTTCATTCTTATCTTCCTTTCCCTCTTTTCCTCCTTGTTTTTTGGGATGCATTCCTTCTGGGTTTTCTCCTACTCCTCAGACCTTTCCTTTACATTTTCAGACTCTTTCTTTCACTTGTCCCTTATATACATGGACTAAATAAATATTTATTGCACACTTATTATGTGCCAGGCACTGTTCTAAGCACTAGAGAGACACAACAATTAGCAAAACAGATAAGAGTGCCTCCTCTCATGGAACTTGCACTCTGTTGATGTGGAAGATAGTCTCCAGCGATGGCCACCATCAGTTCCCCCTTCATGTATAGAAATGCCACTCTTGACATCAAGAGATGCAGCCTATAGCCTTTTCCCCTGAATATGGGCTAGCCTATGGTTGTTTTCCCAACTAATAAAACGTGACAGAAATGAAGTTCTGATACTTCTGAATCAAGGCCTTAGAAAGAACTGGCAGCTTCCACATCCCCATCTGAGGAGCCAGCTGCCTGCCATGCTCCAACTATACTATAGGTTGATAAAGGACAATATGAAGAGATAGGCCACATGGAAGAGCATTAAGGTGCCAGTCTTCTGGGACCTTCCAGGCCAGCCCAGTTACTGGCTGAATGCAGCTGAGTGAGTGACACCAGCCAACATCAAGGTGAGTGTAACAGCCTAGTTAAGCCCTGCCTGAATTCCTGACCCACATTCCCAAGAAATAGTAACTTGTTGCTTTGAGCCACTAAGTTTGGGGGATGGTTGGTTATGCAGCAATAACTGAGACAAGTGGGAAGAGTGAGAGGTAAACAAATACAGCAGTGGCTAGGGCTACAAAGAAGCAAAATAGTATAGCAGCTAAAAGCACAGCCTGCGTTCAAATCTCAGCTCTAGCACTTACTAGCTTAATGACCTTGGCACAAGTTATTTAACCTCTATGTACTGCTGTTTCTTCATCCATAAAGCAGAGATCGCAAAGTCAGCTACTTCATAGGGTGATATGAGGACTAAATATAAAGTGCTTAGAATGCTACCTGGCATATAAGTGCTATATAAATGTTGTTGTTTTGTATGAACAATAAAGAAATGTAAAGGAATAGACAAGGAAGAGTGCAATTTCATGTAAGGTGTGCAGGGCAAGCCCCTTTTCCAAGAAGACATCTGAACAGAGATCTAAAAGGAAGTGAGGGCACAAGCCATGTGAATATCTGACACTCCAGGCAAAGGGAATAAGTAACTGTGAAGGCTAGGAGGGCAGTGTGGCTAGAGCTGAAAGAGAAGAGTTTGAAAGAGGCTAAATGAGGCTAGAGAAGAGGTTGAAAGGTAAGAGATAAGATCAGGTAGACAATGATCTGGTAGTAGGAGCAGATCCTCTGGGCCATGCAAAGGATGGAAAGGACTTTAGGTTTATCTGAATGATAAGAGCAACCATTGGGGCTTTGAGCAGAGGGTGTTGTAATCTGGCTTCTGTTTTAAAGGGATGATTCTTCTGCTCTGTGAAGAGTGATCCTAGTGTAGGAGTTTAAGAGCGGAAGCAGGGAGAGCTGAAAGAGGCTATTGCAGTACAGTTGTCCCTCAGTACCCATGGGGGATTGGTTGCAGGACTCCTGTGGATACCAAAATCTGCAGACACTCAAGTCCCTTATAGAAAATGGTGTAGTATTTGCATATAACCTATGCACATCCTCCTGTATACTTTTTTTTAATTTATTTATGGCTGTGTTGGGTCTTCATTTCTGTGTGTGGACTTTCTCTAGTTGTGGCAAGCGGGGGCCACTCTTCATCGCGGTGCGTGGGCCTCTCACTATCGTGGCCTCTGTTGTTGTGGAGCACAGGTTCCAGACGCACAGGCTCAGTAATTGTGGCTCACGGGCCCAGTTGCTCAGCGGCATGTGGGATCTTCCCAGACCAGGGCTCGAACCCGTGTCCCCTGCATTGGCAGGCAGATTCTCAACCACTGTGCCACCAGGGAAGCTCCCTTCCTGTATACTTTAAATCACCTCTAGATTACTTATAATACCTCATACAATGTAAACGTTATATAAATAGTTGCCTGGAACAGCAAATTCAAGTTTTTCTTCTTGAAACTTTCTGGAATTTTTTTTTTTCAAATATTTTCAATTTGTTGTTGGTTGAATCGGTGGATGCAGAACCCGCAGACACAGGAGGGCCATGGCAAACAGTTACGATGGCTTGGCCTAGGATGGCAGTGGAGGAGAAGGTGAAATGGAGTTGGACTCCTGATGTGTTTTGAAAGTGGAGCCTACAGTATTCGCTCATGGATTAGAAATGAGCAATTGAGACAAAAAGAAGAATTAAGGCCTGAGTTATTGGTAAAAATGCACTGTTATTTACTGAGATGGAAAAAACTGGGAAAAAGAGTATGTCTGGGGATATAGGGAAGAAGTACCAAGTATTCATATTTGAACGTGTTATAGATTATATTGCTAGTAAGCATCTGAATGGAAATGCCAAGTAGACTATTGCATATACAAGTCTTGTGTTGAGAAGAAAGATCAGGGCTAGAGATAAAATTTAGGAAGTTGTCCATGGAAAAGATAAGCAGCCTGAGGCCCAAACTCTATTTAGAGGTTAAGAAGATAGGGAGGATCTAGCCCAGAATCCTGCTAGGTTCTTTGAGAGGAGAATTTACTTGTGTTTGAGAAATAGAAAGAAGGCAAAAGTATCTAGCACAGAGGGAAAAGTGGTAGAAAGTGAAGGTGTAGTGATCATGTGAGGGTTGGTAGGCCAGGATATGAGTTTGTTTTTTATTTTTAAATGCAAGGGGAATCATCAGAAAGTTTTAAGTGGGGAAGTGACCTGATTTTATTTATATTTTTGAAAGTTCATTCTGCCTAGTACTTTATGTATACCTCCAATTTCATTACACAGAATATTAAAAAGAAGTTTACTCAAGGGTTGAGATTTAGTAATATTAATATTTTTTTAATTTATTTATTTTTTGGCTGTGTTGGGTCTTTGTTTCTGTGCAAGGGCTTTCTCTAGTTGCGGCATGCCGGGGCCACTCTTCATCACGGTGCGCCGGCTTCTCACTATCGCGGCCTCTTTTTGCGGAGCACAGGCTCCAAATGCGCAGGCTCAATAGTTGTGGCTCACGGGCCTAGTTGCTCCGCGGCATGTGGGATCTTCCCAGACCAGGGCTCGAACCCGTGTCCCCTGCATTAGCGGGCAGATTCTCAACCACTGCGCCACCAGGGAAGCCCAGTAATATTAATATTTTTAAATTTCATTCTGACTGAATAGATTACAGGAGAGTAAGAATTGAAGCAGGGAGACCAAGGAGAAGGTATTTCATTAGGCCAAATGAGCGATGATGATGACTTGGACTAGGGTGATAGCAATACAAATTGAGAATTAGGTAGATTTGAGAGTAGAATTGTCATGATTTAGTGATGGATTAGACATAAATTTGATTCGTATCCTGCCTGGGTTTTTTCTTGAGCAAGTGATTCATGGGCATTCTGTTTTCTAAACTGGAGAAGACTAAGGAGAAGCATTTGGCATGGTTCAAGAGGTCTGTTGTTGGCATATTGACTTTGGGATACCTTTTTGGCATCCAAGTGGAAATATCAAGTTGGAAGTTGGGGTTCTAGGGAGAAGTCAGGTCTGGAGATAGAGATTTGAGTCATTTGCACATAGGTGCCATTCAGAGCTAAAGGGACTAGATGAACTTACCTGGGAAGAAGTGTTGATAAGAAGGTGTAGAATAAGGCTGGGACTAAGTACTGGGTTGCCCAAGCTTAGAAGTTGAGCAGAGGAGGAGGAACCAGGAAGGATGATTGCAAAGGAGTCCCAGAGAGGTAGGGGGAAAACTAGGAAAGTGCCCACTTTCCAGAAATCAAAGAGACTCTCAAGAAGGATAGCATGATAAACGGTGTTGAATGCTGCTAAATGGTAAAGTAAGATAAGGTATGAGAAGTGATTTGATAAGATGGAATCTCTGGTGACTTGGTGCGAAGAAAAAAAATGTTGCCTGCCGTTCCAGTTCTACAGGAATCAAGCCATTAGCCACTGCAGTTGCCCACTGACAGTGCACCCAGAGGGGAATTCAGGATGGAGAAAAATGGGAAACATTCTGTGCCTTGGATATACTGGCCCTTAGATAATTAAGATGCATATCTAAGGAAAATTTTCAAATGACCCCAGATTCTTGCTTATTCCCATACACAGAAAAGCACTAAAAACATTAACTTCAGTTATCTGTTCTTTGTGATTAGCAGTAATCTTTTGATGCTTGACTACACATTTTTCCCAGTTAAAAAAGTTCATATGTATATCCTAGCTCCTCCCTTACCTCTTCAGAGCAGTTCCTCAGAGCTCTCTGAGAGGCTGTCTCCCAGGCTATTGTCCTCAGTAAGGTCCCTGAATAAAACTTAACTCACAGCTTTTACGTTGTGTATTTTTCTTTCAGTAGACATTGACAAGAGCAGGTTCAGTGGAGCAACAGACAAAGAGGCTTTACTAGGGGTGAGTTTAAGAAAGAATAGGAAGTGAGGTAGCAGGGACATCTCCTTCAAGAAGTTTTGCTGTGAAGTGGAATAGAAAACTGGGGTAGTAGTTGGAGGGGAAAGTAATGTCAAGGTATAGAATAGATACCCAAAACCCAAGCATTAAAAAAACAGATAAGTGATATGAGAGCAAACCCAGATTTCCCATTGGAAAGAAACTGACCTTGCAAGGAAAAAAAGAAAAGATATCCAAACATGTCTTTCTAGATATTTTCATAGACTCAATACTGTCAGCACACAACCTGAGTTGAATTTAGTTATAAATATAAGCTCTTTTAGCATGGCATGTATTACACTAATTTGCAAACCTATATGTCTCTCTTGTTAGATTCTAAGGTCCCAGACAGTACTTAAATTACTTTTTAATTCTCTAGAGACCAGCAACAGTACCTTAAACTTAATAATTATTCAGTAAATTGTTTATTGAGATCTAGCAATTTAACAATTTGTTGAAATGCAGTTCATTGAAATAGACTTAAGTGCTTGCCTCTTCTGCCAGCTACCCTGACTGACATAGGATCTTGTTCCTATTCTCTGATTGATTACCCCCTGGGAGGAATTGAGTCATGATTCTCCCACTTTCCTATCTTTAAAAGTGATGAAATAAAATTCATATTTAATGGCAAGATGAGGAAAATTAAAACATAAAATTTTTCTTTGCCCATTTGGGCCTCCTCACTTCCCTTTAGTCTGTATTTTGCATCTATATTAACCAGACCTCCTTAGGAGGTAACCTTCCTTCTAAATCTTGTAAGGGACCATGAAGATCCATGACCCACTACTCACTTTGTACATGTAGATCTGTATTGTGTAAACTGTCAACAATATGTCATTTGACATATGTCATTTGACGTATAATATAGCCCTTTGTCTCAAAAACTTGTATAACTGTACTTTGCTCTCTAATGGGTGGAACAGTCCTCAGAGCTTTCTGGAAGACTGTCTCCCAGGTTATAATCCTCAGATTGGCTTGAATAAAATTTTCTATTTCTTTCTTAGATTGGCTGTTGACTAATGTTCCTGTTGGCGAAAGTCCTACAAGAATCCTTCTGGGCTCAAAGGGCAAAAGGATTGAAGGTGGTGGTTTACCTGCCCTGAGGCAATCCATGGGTGAGTATGTGAATGTGTGTGAGGGGTGATTAGTGGTAATGCACCCTCTGAAGGTAATGATAGTTGGATTAATTTTAATAATATTGCAATATAATATATTTTATAATGTACAATTTGCAAAATGCTTCATATATGTGCTTTATCCTCAAAACAACCCCATGATAGGTAATTATTCCTAAAATACAGATGAAGAAACTGAGGCCCACTGACTTGTCCAAGTTAAACTAACTACTATTAAGTGGCAGAGGGATTCAAACCCAGGTCTCCAAATCTGGATCTCCAAACTCCAAGTTCTCTGTTTTGTCCCCTACTTCAACTCCAACTGGATCAATGTGTTGAATATAGAGTTCAGGACTAAGATTAAAAAGTAGGGTTCCAAAAGAGGATGATAGAGGATGACAGAAAAGAAGTAACAGAGTCAGTGAAGGCCAGTATTGGAAACTGAGAATAAGACTCATGGGAGGGCAGGGTTCAGGGATATGCCTCAGAGTAGGATCAGAATGAACAATAAGTGAACGCTGATTTTAAGCTCCCATCCTCTACATGAATGAATGTGAATGTGTGTAGGGGTGCATTCATACACATATGTACATGCTGTTATTTAATTTTTTTTATTTTTATTTTATTTTATTTTTTTGCGGTACACGGGCCTCTCACTGTTTGTGGCCTCTCCCGTTGCGGAGCACAGGCTCCAGACGCGCAGGCTCAGTAGCCATGGCTCACGGGCCCAGCCACTCCGCGGCATGTGGGATCTTCCCAGACCGGGGCACGAACACGTGTCCCCTGCATCGGCGGGCAGACTCTCAACCACTGCGCCACCAGGGAAGCCCTGTTATTTAATTTAACAGCCATTTAATAGGAATCTGAAAGGAGTATAAGATATAGTTCATACCCTCAAAGAATGTTTTTCTCAACTTGTTAGGAAAACATTAAAAGTAGTTATTAGAGTGTTCAGACAGTCAGTGATCCAGGAGCTCATCCTTGGAAGAGATGGGGGTGTGGAGTGGGGAGAATCAAAGAAACAAGGAAAGGTTTTGAGCAGAGATAGAACCTCAGCCAGGACTTGAAGGATGGATAGGTACAGGGGAGGGAAGAAGGTGTCAGTGGAGAGACACATGAAGGTTGAGTCAGAACAGCAGGGAAGGTCTGTTGGACAGTGAAGCTACTGGTGTGACTACAGTGACGAGTAGGGGGATGAGTGGGGAATAGTGGAGGGTGAGGCAGGATAGAGTCAGGTTGTCTGAAGCCAAGCTGAGGAATTTAGACTTGATTTCATAGGTAACTAAGGGTCTGTGAGGATGTATCAGAAATGATCAAAGAGGAATTTTAAAAGTATACCACAGAAACATCTTCTGGGCTTTCAAAGTAAAGTTGTAATCTGTGTTTTTTATTCTACTTAACCATTAAAACAGAGGCTCTGTGTGTGTGTGTGTGTGTGTGTGTGTGTGTGTGTGTGTTACATTTTTTATTCTTACTGAATTAGATTACATTTCTCTCCCAAGTTAAATAGGTAGTTTAAAACAACTTACACCTTTGTTTTTAAAAACGGATGCTGTGATTCTAAGTGGCTCAGATTTTAGAAAAGGGGCACCCAAATCTCATTGACATCTGGGAGCATTTTACTCTGTGGCTGAACTTCATGTAAGAAGATAATGACCAAGATGAGGAGCAAAGACCTGCTGACGACATATTGTAATTTGGGGGAATGGTTTAAAAAGAAATGCTTTTACTCACCTCATACCAAAAATAGTGGATTAGGGCTTCCCTGGTGGTGCAGTGGTTGAGAGTCCGCCTGCCGATGCAGGGGACACGGGTTCGTGCCCCGGTCCAGGACGATCCCACATGCCGCGAAGCGACTGGGCCCGTGAGCTATGGCCACTGAGCCTGCGTGTCTGGAGCCTGTGCTCAGCAACGGGAGAGGCCACAACAGTGAGAGGCCTGCGTACCGCAAAAAAAATAGTGGATTAAATGACTAACCACCAGATGTAGGTAAGCAGGTGCTAACTTGTTATTTTTAAAATGGAAGCACATAGCTGTATGAGATTTGTTGAGGCATATATTAATAAATCCTATATTATGACATAGAAGTAACCATTAGAGCAAGCATATATTAATAAAAAAGTAAATATCTATATTTAAATGAAATAAAACCTTGCCTGAATTTCTTTTAAAAAAATTCTTCTGGATTTGAGTTATTGTTATGTAATATGTGCCTAATAATGTCACACTTCTCTCTCTTATTCTTTCCTTACCTTAGTTTTTTGACGAAACCCATTCTACTGGCATAGCTTAGCTTTCTGATCTCAAGCTGGGCATTACAAGTCACTGTTTTTCCTAAAAGTAAAGAGCAGTAGTTTGGGCTAAAGGGCCTCCTTCCTTAGTGTGTATTACACATAGAACATGTAAATTGTTATAAATATTTAAAGAAAGCATTTAGCCCCCAGCCTACAAAAGATAGCATCTCAAATATGTATTTGCAGATGAGTTTTTTGAAACTTAGAACATGCTTTCCCATAGTAACAATGAGGTAAATAATGGATTAGTTCCTGGACTAATCTACAAATGTTATTTGATTTATGAAGTCATTCAAATAATGTGCATTTACAATTAAAAATATAACTGAGGTGGGACTTCCCTGGTGGCACAGTGGTTAAGAGTCCACCTGCCAATGCAGAGGACACAGGTTCGAGCCCTGGTCCAGGAGGATCCCACAACTAAGGGAGGATCCCAGGAGGATGACGCAACTAAGCCCGTGCGTCACAACTACTGAGCCTGCACTTTAGAGCCACGTGCCACAGCTACTGAAGCCCATGCACCACAACTACTGGAGCCTGCGCACCTAGAGCCTGTGCTCCACAACAAGAGAAGCCACCACAATGAGAAGCCTGCTCGCTGCAACTGGAGAAAGCCCACACGCAGCAACGAGGATCCAACGCAGCCAAAGATTAATTAATTAATTAATTAAAACAAAAAAATATATATGTATATATATAACTGAGGGACTTCCCTGGTGGTCCAGTGGTTAGAACTCTGTGCTTCCAATGTAGGGGGTGTGGATTGGATCCCTGGTGGAGAACTAAGGTCCCACATGCCATGCCATGGGGCCTATGTACATATATATATAAATATACCTGAAATCAATACTTCTGCAATATTTTACAATTTAAAAAACAAGAAGGAAAACCCCTTGGTATTGAATGAATAATTTTTCATGAATGCTGGTAGTTAAAGAAAGGCAGGTTTTAAGGGTCAAGGAGAAAAGTTGGATGAAAGTTTTGGATTTCCGGAGTGGGAAGCAGCGCCCCATACTGGAACCCGAGCAACAGGAAAAACCTGTGCCCTTATACCTATATAGATCTAAATATCCTCCCATATTTTTTAATCAATCAGAAAAAGTTAATAAAAACCCTATAATTTGGAAAAACATAGATAATAGATAATAGATAGATAGATAGATAGGAAAAAAATCCCACATTGCCAATCTGCTTACACACTCTGTCAATCAGCCCTCATAAACTGTCACAGCCAGTTGGGGGGTGGGAGGAAGGGTGGGGGTCAGCAGCCACGCTGTAGGGGCCAGGGGTTGATTGGAAATGACTGCTCTGTGTGTGCAGAGATGAGAGGTCGTAAATAAACAAGCAACAGCTTGTCTTTGTTTAAAATGTTAATACTGTATTCTGTTCATCATGGATTTTTTGCATTAATTTTTATTTTAATTTAAAAAATTATATTTAAAAATATTGCATCAAAAAATATTGCATCAAGATTATCATTCTAATTTGTTTTGATTACTGAGGGTTTGTTTGTTCATTTTTGGTGCCCCCCTTCTTCCCCACTTATGCCTCATCCCAATCGGGCACTGGCTGGTGGGAAGCAATGAGAAAGGAAACTGCACAAGGGTCTCCCCAGGTTAAGCTTTTCTTCCTTTTTTTCTTTTTCTCTCTGTGTCTCCCTCTCCCAACATTTTTTCCTTCTTCCCTCTCTCTCTCTCCCCACCCCCACCTTTCCCTCCCTACCTTTCTTTTTTGTTGTTTTTGTTTTTGTTTTGTATGCGGTACGCGGGCCTCTCACTGTTGTGGCCTCTCCCGTCGTGGAGCACAGGCTCCAGACGCGCAGGCTCAGCGGCCATGGCTCACGGGCCCAGCTGCTCCGCGGCATGGGGGATCTTCCCAGACCGGGGCACGAACCCGTGTCCCCTGCATCGACAAGCGGACTCTCAGCCACTGCGCCACCAGGGAAGCCCCCTACCTTTCTTTTTAATTTTTTAAAATTCTTTTCTTACTCTGGGTCTCCAGCCCATCAGCTTTCCCCTAGCTGTTACTGAAGGCTGTGCCCTGGCCCGGAGCTAACTGGCTTCTGGGGGACTGGGAGCTGGGGAGGGCTCAGTATTTCTGAGAGGAAGAGGCCTAATCGATTTGCACAGGTTTAAAAACCTTAATTTTTTAAAATCCTCTACATTTCAGAGCCTTGGAGCCAAGTTTGGTTTGCCCAGCCCTAGTAACTGCTAGGCTTTTGTATATGATAAAGGCAGTTGGAAGATTAAGAAAAACTTATGAAGTAACTGGGTGAGGAGAAGGAAAAAAAAAAGATTTTTTAAAACGGATACGTGTAAACTGGAGAAAGATCGCCTGAAGTGGAATCACCGTGGCTGAGTGGCAACGTCCAAAGAAAATTAAGGCGAGTGTGTGGTGGAGGAGGTTGGGGCATTCTCTTGAGGAAAAAAAGACGTTTGGAGGGAGGAAAAGTCGAGTTGGCCAGTTCTCCACCCTGGCCACCTAGTGGTGCTGTCGGTACAAGGCTGGCTGCTTTCTGGAATGAAAGACTAGGTGGGGATCCGGTATCCTGGAACAGAGATGGGGAGAGGGAATCTCAGAGTGGGCCACACAGTTTGTGGGTATAAGAAATTTACAAGTCAGGTTTTTGTAAGTTGTGTTTATTTGTATTTACAGACCCACAATATACACATATTTTAAAGTAATAGTAAATTGCAGGAGACGGTT